AAAAAGTGTTTCTCAAATTTCTTAAACAATTTTAATCCGTATTGCACATTAATTTAATTATGTTTTATTATCATTGTTATTCTTAGTTTCTTCTTATTATATATATTTTTGCATTTCTTTATTTTCATTTGTAGCAGAGGATACGAACCATCTCGCGAACGCCGCAGGCGTTAGGCTTGGCTGCATAAATATATATGTATAAATAAACAAACTTACAATTTAACTATTAATTTTATTTTATTTCAATGATTTAGCTCACGTAAATTCGTTTCGATTTCCGTTCAGATAATGATTTGCCCGATTACGCTGTTAATTTGAGTAATGGAAGCCAGAGCAGTGCATTTGCTAGTACACATATACATACATATGTATAGTGAACACGAGAAGTTTAGATCCATTCACTTCTCATACCATCACCGTTTAAGTTAACTTAGTGCTGAGTTTATTATTACAAGTTATTTAACGCATTGCACTTTTTACTATCACCATTTTTTGATTTCCTTTTATATACACTCTTTGCATATTTTCTGTATTCTCATGCAATAATACTTATTCTACATGCATTCTAGTTTCTTATTAGTGTGTTTACTTATTTACTTTACTATTCATAAATAAAGATATGTATAATTATTTTGTAAATGCAATGTGTTGATAAAAAACAAACTTTTATTTTTTAAATTGATTATCCTCAGATATGATTTTCTTTGTATTTTTTAAAGCGTTTTTGGTAAGTTTATTTTTACAGCATTCATTTTAATTTATGTGTAACTTTTAATTTAATGATCATTCGTTTCCTTTAGATGATTGAACTTATACCCCTATTTATGTATAACACTTTAAGTTCGGTAAGTTTAATTTGTTTTACCATTTTTTTTTACTTCGTTTTTTTATATCCAAATTTATTATTCCAAATTCAATAGTAAAATAAAATCGTTTCAATTAAAAACTTTTATTTCATTGTTTAGCGCACGCAAACGTCCGATTCCTTATCACCACAAAACACCATCGGATGCCTCCAGCTTTTGTTCGAGCTGTTACAGTCGCGGAAGTTCGCCACATTCCCCTTCATGTTCCCCCACGCGCAGCAACCGTAGTCCATCGACGGCATTTTGAGGTTTAAAGAAGAAACTTGTACAAGTTTTACAAAACATCACATAAGAGTTCGACTCAGATGGTTGATAGCAATCATATTGACATGTATGGTAGAAGAAACGCAAGCGCCAAGCAGGAGTGTTATTTCTAGTCCTATTCAAGCATTCTAGTCATTTTAATTTAAAAAATTATCGCATATATACATACATATAATTAAAACACATAAATATA